TCTAAAGATATACAGATATACACATATTCCCACTATATCGGGGCCGAACACCCCTGAAACCCTAAACCCCTAAACCCCTAAACCCTAAACCCCTAAACCCTAAAGCCCTAAAGCCCTAAACCTTAAAGCCCTAAACCCTAAACCCCTAAACCCCTAAAGCCCTAAAGCCCTAAACCCCTAAACCCTAGACCCTCCAAACCTTAAATCCTAAACCTCAAACCGTGTGGCAAGGCAAGAACCTTGAGAAGCGACTCTGGGACCTAGGATGGAATTGTAAACCCCAACGGTTTAGGGTGTAGGGTTTAGGGTTTAGGGTTTACCTCAGCCCTAAACAGCGCAAACCTGAAAACTCTCTACATACCTTATGAGCCCTCAACCCTAAACAAACGCTCAAACCACAAAGCTTGCGACTTCTGAACCCTGAAAAACCCTAAACCCTAAACCTTGGAGCCTAAAGCCTTCCGAATCCGAGCTTCAACACCTCAATCTCCTGTCAAACGGCTCCCTTTCAAGGTGGTCACTCTTACCTGGACCCCTAATGTATGCAGAATAGTGGCCTTTTGGGCTATATTCAGGGGATATGGGCCATTATTTTACCTACTCTGGGGGTTTAGGTAGTGGTTTAGGGTGTGGGGTCTAGGGTTTAAGGGGGGGGCTTCACCTGCAAGAGAACCCTGAAATCTTGAGGCTTAACCGTAAAACCCAATAGTTAGGCATAGTAGCCTAATGATGAACCTAAAAGATCTGTTCCAGTTGGTGTTGAAGAGCACTATTCTCCCTGGACTCTGTTCTTCATGCTAAGCTATGGTCATGAGTCATCACCATCTCGGAACATGTGTGTTTTCTCTGCTATTCCTATGGAGACCTATAGTATATTCATCCCAACCTTCAATTTGAATGATTTAGGCCCATACCAGGAGAAGCCTGTAGCATGGTTTATCCTGCTCGCGTGTCCTTTGGCTGCCATGTTTTGTATGCTTTGGCTCATGTTGGAAAGTCCAGGATCCTAGGCCAGTCCATCAACTTTTCATGACCCGCGCCCGTTCATGCCGTAGAAACTTCATGACTCAACTCTGCAACACGTTTTGTGAAATGGTCATTCGGAGGGCGCCATCAGCCAAGCCGTTGCGCATCCCTGTGCTTTGATCATCGTCCTCCAACCTACACTTACCCTCCCGAATCCCAGGACGTGACTTCAGCCCTTGACCCCAAGCCCCCAAATTGTGGCCCCTACATAGGAGTCTCTATGTTCTTTTCCCTTCCCTAAGCCCTAAACACAGTATTTCCTCACAACCCCTTCAAAGAGACCTCATAGCTTATGGTAGTTTCCCTTTACTTTTCCCTCTGATATGCGTACCCTCAACGCCTCAACGCCAGCGCCATGGCACGTTCTTGGTGCCTCTTCTTGGTGGTGGCAGGGTTTGTGGCAGCTACTATCCTGAATTTTGAGGTTTCGTGCTTGGAGATGGTTGAGCGAATAAAGGGCGCAAGACAAGTCTAGGATGAACCTCGTGCAAGTGATGTAGGAGCTAAACCCTAAACTTTGAACCCTAAACCCTGATTAAACTTTAAGCCCTGAACCCTAAACCCTAAACTGCTAGCTCCCAAGCTGCCACTGCCCAAACGCCAATGCATCTCCGTATGGAAGCTTCTCAAAACTGCGGCTTGGGGGTTTGGGGTTAAGGCTTTACTTAGCTTGAGGTTCCAGATATTATGGGTTTTAGGGTTTGTTTAGCTAAAGCTTCCAGAGAACTTCAGTTTAAGCATTGCATATGAGGCTGTTTGCTCTAGAGTCCAAGAAGCTAGAGGTGTTCTGGGCCTGAGGCAGCCCTGGGAGTTGCTCAAACACAGGGGGGTCGTTAGGGGAACACATGGGGGTTTACCAGAAGAAGGGGTATCTGTTTGGGGGCCTCCCTATAATAGGCCTAAACACTAAACCCCTTAACCCTAAACCCTAAGCTTCATAAGGATTACAGCATGTGGGGCTTGGGTTTAGGGCTTAGAGTTTAAGGCTTAGGGTTTAAGGTTTAAGGTTTAGGGCTTAGGATTTAGGCTTTAGGGCTTAGGGCTTACGGTTTAGGGAAGAACGTGTGGTGGCCCTTGACGACCCTAGGGAGAATCCAGGAGCCAAACCGCACCATTGAAGATCAAAACTATTCAAAGCGCTAAGCTCTAAGTCCTAAACCCTAAACATCTCTATAGAGGTAACCTGGGCAGACTCCCTTTTCGGGCTTCTTGAAAAGCTCCCTCGTCTTTGTAGTCGCTCCAAGCTTGTTTGGGGCGACTTGCAGCTCCCTAAACCGCTAAACCCCAAACCCAGGGTTTAGGGTTTAGGGTTTAGGGCCATAAGGCTCCTAGGACTACTTGGGGCTTTCAGGGGCAAGGTTTGGGCTTTTTGGGCTAAGGTTTGGGATCCCATTATGGGGGTCCAAGAGCTTTAGGGTTAACCCTAAACCTCCAACCCCCTGAACCCTGAGACCCAAAACCCTAAGACCTTAGCAAGGTACCTCCCAGTTTCGTGACTCCGCTTTCGGGGTCGCAGTCCTCATCCAGGCACGAAGAAGCAATGCAGGAGTGTTTAACACGAAGAGGCTTTGATTCTAGGGTTTAGGGTTTCAAGTGTAGCAAGTCTGACTCTGCGTAGGCTGTTTGCTTACAAGTATGAAGGAAGCAAATTTGATCTGCAGGCAGATCTTGGGCGTTTGGTTATGTAAGTCTATGGAGATTGCTAGTGCAGTGAGCGCAGGGCTAGGGTAGGTTTGGGGTTGGTTAAGGCTCATTTCGGGAGGGACTGGCTAAAAGCTTCCCCCGTTGCTTCGCCCACACCCTCAAGTAAGCTCCTCAGATCTTCAGCGCAGCTTTGCCCCGCAATCGGTGTTTCCCATCCCTTCAGATGCCTGCTATGGGAATACGGGGGAGACGGTGCGTGTGCCGGTGGACCAAGGCCGGTGCGAAGCCTGGCGCGGTTCAGCTAGGCTTTGAATGGCTAAGGGCTCAGGCGGCTAGTCAATGCGCGCGCTACGATTCTCTTCTCTCCTGGTGCTGTCCCGCAACCCAACCTTTAGACAAATTCTCTTACACGCAGAGTCCAGCATGGTCCGTTGAGGTGGGGTCGGCGTGAACATTTGTTGGATATTTGTTCGTATTGCCGGCAACTGAAGAGCTTCAGCCGGAGCTCCGAATGATGCACTTTGCACAGTTTACATCCGCGAAAAGAATTCATTTGCAACTTCAAGACCTTTGCTTTCGCTAGGTCCTGTCTAGATTCAAGGGTTTAAGGCTTGGGGTTTAGGGTTTAGGTTCAAGCCCTGGACCCTAAACCCTAAACTGCGTGTTTGGGATTTCGAGTCTGGCACCCCTTTTTTTAGAAGTATCACGTCTTCGGATTAGGGTAAACACATGGGGGCAGGTCGTACGGGGCGGAGAAGGTTGACAAGTTCCTGGGCTCCATGTCCGGGTCGTTTTTGGATTTAGAATTTTCGTTTGGTTTTACAATAGCTAGGACCCAGGAAGTGGTGTAAACTTATAGCTTGAAACAGTAAAGTCATTGTTGGACATTTTAGGTTCTTATGGCACTAAGACTCACTACCCTACACCCAAAACCTAAAACCCTAAACCCCAAACCCTAAACCCGAAACCCCAAACTAAATCCTAAACCCTAAACCGAAGCAGACTCAGGCCTGGGTCGTTGGGATTTCTTGGAAATCTGGACTTGGGGTGTTTCGCGAAGGTGTAGAGTTTTTACCGCTCCCTAAGCCCGAAACCCAACTGGGGTTTGGGGGTGTCGTGACAGAAACAGGTGACACTCTATAATCTGAAATTTTTAGCAGGGGAGGAAATCTTATGATAATTGAGCATTTGATTCCACGAAGCAAGCTCGAAAAAGTGATGAAATTAACGAGAAGAGCAAACTAAGTGATTTTAATCTGTATTGCGCGTTCGTTTACAACATTTAAGGCGGAATGTTTGAGTGTTGCCGTGTGCTGGGCATCAAGACGGCTACCTAAACCCCAAACCTAAACCGGAGCACTGGAGCACTGCCACCGCCGCCGAAGACACCACTCGCAACCTGCCCAACAACTTGCCCAAGATTCCAACGCTTCCTGTGCGAATTTAGGGTTTAGGGCTATTCATTACAGTTCTGTACAGTACTGCGCAGCACAATACCGCACGGGGAGTAAAATACGCTGGCTTGTAGCTGAAAACCTCCCAGGCCTCCAACCGGATTTCCACAATGAGCCTTGCATGCTAAAGCCCTACATCCCAAGTCCAAAGCCTAAACCCTAAACCCGCTGCCTCCAACCTGAAACACGAAGCGCCAAAACCTTAGCATTGAACCCCTCGTAGAGTATCCTATGTACCTGCAACAAGGCGATGTGGTACGCATTTTTTAGTGCTTAGAGTTCTTTCTAGACTTTGTTAAGGGTCGAAGGTCATCCTAGTGTGGATGGAAGAAATCTTGCGCCATCCTATATAAGCCCAAGAATGGAAATTGCAGTAATCTTGGGATACTAATCAAGTGGTGCAAGATTTCCTCCACCTACCAGAGGTAAGCCCCCTAAACCCTAAACTCTAATCCCCCAATCCGCCCTGTTGCAGGAGGACGCTCTCAACTCACAGAAGGAAGCTGACTCGCTCCGCCCCTTGTTACTTTGGGAGTTAGGGTTTGGCAGGTAGATTTAGGATTTAGGGTTTCAGGTGCGGGGCATTCGGCGGCCGATGGAGGCTCTAGAGTTTGGCGCTTAGGGGGTTGGGTTGTAGGGACTAGGTTGAGGTTTACATGACGTGGAGGTGCAGATGTTGTGGGTGGACGAGATCTTGCACCACCCTGCATACCGTACTTGGCGGGTCAAGGGGGCTTACTAAGTAGGTTAAAAATAGGGATAACTGGCAACTGGATACTGACCTAGTCCCAAACACCCTAAACTTACCCTAAGAAATATTCCCTCTGGCCGTCCAAGTATACCCTAGACTCCTTCTTGGAAATCTTTGGGGTGGTATGATGAAAGATGGAAACTCTTTTCAAGCCATGTGGCTGTCACTAGAGTTACAGGGATTAGGATTCTGGCTTGGGAGCTCAGGGTTTTCGGGCTTTAGGATTTAAGGGGTTAGGGTTTACGGCTCAGGGTCTGGGATTGCGGAGCTTAAGCCACCTAAACCTCCTAAAACCTAAGCACTTTACAACCTAAACCCTAACCCTGGACTTCGCTGAAAATTGTGTTTAGCCCCTGGTCCCCTGCTCAGATCTATAGAGGCTTCCTCTTTTCTCGCATTATTTACCCAGCAAAATTCGTGCCTTCTACCATAGTTCTCAGCCGATTGGACAGTGGAGAAAGGAATGTTTCCAGAATGTAGGCGCCTCTCGTTGGCATTGCCGTTTTTTCAGCATCGTCCCCTGATTTCTGCGGGAAGTCCTCAAATTTCATAGATGACGAGATGGGAGCGCTGTTCTTGGCTGATGTCTTTATCGAAGTTTGCCTTCCTTTCAAAGATAACGCTCGTTGTTTGCGGATGTAATGCCAGCTTCATGAATCTCGTTGTCATGTTTGTCTTGTTTTCAGTATCACCAATTTTTGTGCTGCTCGTTCTTCAACTGATTGTTATATGACTGCCGCCGTTACTCTGACTCTAAGGGCCAATTGAATTTGAAGAGGCTTGGAGTGTATTATATACATACACTATAGTGATATAAGGAGTGGGGCTCCAACTTGTCTTGTTGATCTAGGTTTTTTTCATTCTGGAAGTGTTTTAGTTGCCGTATTAACGCCAGATGAGGGATGCACACGTGCGGTTTTTAATGTCACCCCAGAAAGGACGCAATCACAGGGGACCTTGCATGCTTGATGTTGGATCTGTGCGCTCATGTTCTTTTCAGGGCCCCTATGAAAGTTTGTGTTGTCCGCCCAGGCCCTTGCAGATGAGCTGATCTCCTGGGCCGAGGATTGGCAAATATCACTGGGATTTCTGACAAGTCTGAGTTCGATGTTAATGACGAGTAACATGCACATTATATACACATATATACACCCGTGCATTGGGACTCTTGGAAAACATCTCTATGGACGCTTAATTTCAGCCTGAGCCCTACAATCTCCAAACCCTAAACCATGCACGTACACATCCATGGTTCTCAGCATATGAGAATGCATCGCCATAACTCCATATGCCACCAAGATTCAATGATCCTTGATATAGAAATCTCCCAGACACACCGCTAATTTTGGCAACCGTCATATATATATCCTTCGTATAGAGCTGCACCAGAAACCACAGACCAATGACCTTATACATCCCTTTGCACCCATCACATATCCCTATATATCCCTACATATCAGTACGCTCTCCACATATTCCCGTATTCTTATCTTAGGCCCTATAGACCCTAAACCCCTAATCCCTCATAGGGCTACTCATCCGAGTTGCAGGCTGCTGGGTACGTGCCAAACGAGGCCCCGAAATCCCTCGGGGGCTCCGAGTGGGCGCAGCTACTTGGCGGCCGAGCTTTTGTTGCTGTCGCTAGGGGTGAGCTCTAGGGTGTACTGTTCAGGGTTCAGGGTGCGGGTTTAGGGTAAAAAAGGTTCCGATTTTCTTTGGCTTCCTGATACCTGTTCTTCCCAGACCCCTTGCAGGAATAGACGGTTTAGGGTTCGGGTTAGGCTTCAGGGTCCAGGGTAAATGCCAAAAAGTTCCAGGTTCACATAATCAGGATTATAGTGCTTGGAGCCTATATATAAGCATCTGCCATTCATGGTCATTCCAATATGACACCTACATGATTCTCCATGTCAAATCATCCTAGGAGATCTGTTTTTCAATTTGAACCCTAAACCCTAACCCTATTCCCCTAAACCCTAAATCCCTAAACCCTAAACCCCAAACCCTAAACCTTATCCCTAAACCCTAAACCCTACACCACCCTTTACCCTGTGCTGTGGATCCTTTACGGCGTCTCCGGATGCCTGGTCTTGAGCGATGAGGTTCTTTGAGGCAAAGACTTCAGCAAAAACGGTTTGGGGTTTAGGGTCTTAGGCTTTAGGGTTTAGGGGTTTAGGGGTTTAGGGTTTAGGGTTTAGGGTGCAAGTGGTCATGTTCGTATGAAGGTTGAGGCTTTAGGGTGTTTAAGGTTTAGGGCTTCATGGGATCAAAGATAACTTGAAAGGGGTCAAGACGAGGGACATAATATGAGCTTTAGGCTTTAGGGTCTGAATGGAGTTTAGGGAATAACGGGGAGGGTTTGGGGCTTAGGGTTTAGGGTTTAGGATGAGGGATGGAACACAACAACACACATTAACAGGTAGCGAAAGGTCTTAGTTGGGCATAAGAGTTGCTGTGATCTTTTCACCACGGGTCTTACGTCCGGTGGACTCGCTCAACCTCCGAGTGAAACACCAAATTGCATGCTTGTGGCTAGACTTGATTTGACAAGGAAGCCCCGACAAAGACCCAAGTCAAAACGTCTTAAGTTCCCGTATGCCAGTGACGGCTTCGGCACCAGCTAGGCTGCAACTTCAAGATGTGCAGAACTACATAGTTGAACCCCCGAATTGCCTTTCTGAGGGCAAGCTTTGTGTATACAACGCTCCCATGCAACCCGAAAGCAACAAGAAATTCAACCAACAACAGAATCGGAACCCGAATTGTTTTTTACATGTTGGTATGTATAAGGATTTGGGGATGCGACTGGTGTGAGATTAAGCGGGAGTGGTGGAGAGTGCATATGCGGCCTACCATAGGGGCTTGCATAGGGATTATGACGGAGATCCACTCCTTGGAGGGTCATGGGGACCTAATTGGTAAGTGGGTGAACCCTGATATACTTGCCAAGTCCCCCTGACTCTTCAAGTGCCTAGACCCCCTAAAGGACCCAAAAAATGGAACCTCCCAATAATCCCCTAGTTCCCCCAATGTAGTAATGGGTGTTATTTTGGGGGGTTCCATTCTTTGGATCTCTTAGGGGGTCTGGGTAGTCTTTGCAGACCTTTTAGGAGGTTCCATGTCAGTTTGGGGGGAGGCTGAACTCAGACCCTAAACGGTAAACCGCGTTAAGGCTTAGGGTTTAGGATTTAGGGTAGTTTAGCACTTAGGGTTTAGGACTTAGGATTTAGGACTTAGGGTTTAGGACATAGGATTTAGGATTTAGGGTCTAGGGTGGCCCTACCTAGCCTCGAATGCCCAAGGTTTAAATTTGTTGTGCATTGCATCACGCGCAGTACAGACACAAAAGGTCCGCTGTCTTTCGTTTCTCCAAGTCTCATAAGTTACTCGTGGTTACTAGGGCATAAGGAAATTAAATAGAACCTCTGAATAACACCTATATACTATATTCCTTTATCCCCTGAGAACCTCCAGTGAGCAAGCATCCACTCCTTGGCTAGGGCTCCCAGTTAGCCAGATAGTACGTTACTGGACTATGTAACTATAGGATTTAAAGAACCCAGAACATCCCAGAACCCTAAAACCCTAAACCGTAAACCCAAAAAACCCAACCCATGAACCCCAGAACCCATTATTTAGATTACCTTAGCCCTAGGGCTTGGCTAAGGTTTCATCGCCTAAAGACGGAGACCGCCGACTTCTTCGTCAAGTCTTCCAGCCGAGCAGCTTCCAAGGTCCCCAAACCCCCACACGCTTTAGGGTTTAGGGTTTAGGAAACCCTAAACCTGAAACCCTAAAACCCTAAAACCCTAAAACCCTAAAGCCCTAAACTCTACACCTAAAACCCTAAAATCCTACACTCTACACCTAAAACCCTAAACCCTAAGACCCCCAAAACCCCAAACCCTAACACTCCTAAACCTCGGCCGTGCCACGGGGTGGATACAAAGAATCTGGAGAGTTGAGTGGAACAGTGTAAAAATTCAGCTTTAGGATTTTAGGGTTTTAGGATTTTAGGATTTTAGGGTTTTAGGGTTTAGGGTTTATGAAGTGGCATCTCGCATGGTATCAGGGTTTATGGGGTTGATACTAAAAACGTCCTCCATGGCCCTAAGTGCCCTAGGGCAGTGTGTTGCTATACTATACGACTTAAGGTCGCGCAGCGTTTTTAGTATCAGCAGTACGGCTCTGTTCAGTCATGGTTTTTGGGTTTTGAGGACGGTGTCGCTGGGCTAAAAGAATTCAGGGTTGAGTGTTTCTGAGGGCTTGCATTTTATGAGAGGAGGCCAAGGAATTCCGACTTGAGTTTTGGGTTTAGGGTATAGTCATACCATACTGCAGACATACCACAGATCATTGCTTCCACCCTGAACTTGGCAGCCCTAAGCCCAAAGACCTAGATCCCAGACCTGTTTCTCACACGCCTAGCTTATGCTCAGCAACCTTACATCCACAAACCATCGCAGCCCTAAACAGTAAATCCACACCCTGTTTCCTTTCTTTCTGAGCACACCACACCGGGCAACCTCAATTTTGGGTAGGGGACGCATGTGGAGCAACCTCGTTTGAGGTAGGGAAATGCCGCAACCCCTTGTGAGGTGATCATTTAAGAAGGTTTACTGTTCAGGAACTTAAAGCAAGTTACTAAAACATGGAAACCCTAGTATAAATTATATTCGCACATGACGGTAACTTAAACTCAAAGCCCTCCATACCCACATTAGGGTAACTTAATTTACGCTCCTCAACAAGTGTATATTATGAGGGAGTTGCCGATTTCTGGCTGGTACGCTGAGGAAGGCATTTGGGAGCTGAGGATTGAATAGATGTAAATGCCAGCCTTAAGAGTTTAGGGTTTGGTGTTTAGGGTTTAAGGTTTGGGGTTTGTGGTACCCAATAATCATATACTTATGCAAGCCCTGTACTAGAATTGTAAGTACCAAAATACCAGATTATTGGATACTTGAATTCATAGGATTGGTAGGAAGGCAAGCCCTAAGCCCTAAGGCCTAAATCCTACAGCTACCACTAAACCCTAAATCCTAAACCCTAAACCCTAAATCCTAAGTCCTAAACAGCTTAGAATTATCTTGGGGAAGGTTACTCTAAGGGTCCAAGGACCCAAATAACAGGGTTTTAGGGCCTAAATGCCAATAATATTGTAGTTAGTATTTAGGCCCCAAAACCCTATTATTTGGGTCCTTGGACCCTCAGGGTTAGAGGGGGAGCCATAACGCAAACCTTGAGCCTTAAAGCTCTCAGCATCAAAACCTATACCCCAGCTGCAAATGCTTGTAAATCCTAAGCCCAAGAGCCCTACACCGGTTTAGGGTTTAGGGTTTAGGGTTTAGAGGTTCTAAAGCCCTAAGCCCTAAGCCTTCAACAAACCTTAAGCTGCTAAACCGCCAAACCCCTTGACTCTAAACACCCAAACACCTTCAAGCCCGAAACCCCTAAACTCCTCAACCGCCCTAAATCCCTAGAACCCTTAAACCACCCTATGCCCCCTAAGCCTAAACACTGCCTCCAAGTACATTGAACCCTAAACCCTACACCCTCCGCCCGCAGATGTTCGTTGGCGAAGCAGAGGGTCTCCGGGCTCTAGGCCACGCGGCGGCGCGCGAGGGGCTGCTAAGGGTACCGAAGGCCTGGGGGCTTGGGTGGGTGGGTCTTGTAGGGTTTAGGGTTCTGAAGGGATAATGGAAAAGAAAATGGAAGCTACTGTAGGAAATATGTAGGGGTTAAGTTAGGGGTTATATAACAGTATATTATAGTATATCATAGTATATCAGGGTGAAGGGCTGTTCAGGGTTTAGGGGTCTTAGGGCCCAGTTTTTTTTTTAGAAGGGGTCTTAGGGCGTGTAAGGATTTTTAGGGTTTCGGGGTTCTTAGGGCGCAGGTTGTTTTAGGGTTTATAGGGGTCTTAGGGTTTAGGGTTTAGAGGATTTATGGGTATAGGGGTGAGGGTTTAGGGTTTGGAGTGTTGGGGGGGTCTTAGGGTTTATGGGTTAGGGCTCAGGGCTCTTAAGGTGGTTTGGCGGGTTGGGAGGGTCTTAAAGCTGTGAGGGCTTCGGGGTTCAGAATATTATGCAGCGTGAGGCCTGATTATAGGCTTTGGTTGTAGGGTTTAAGGCTGAGGCTCTATAACCCTACCACCCCGCGCCCTCGTAACAGCAGGTTTGGTAACTACATACAGTTGGAATTACAATCCTATGTATAATTGGGGGGTAACATGTACAGGCCGAAATCCTAAACCCAGTTTGGGGGATTATGCATAGGGCTATAGGCCCAGGTATAAGTGGACACTCAGTCCCTTGAACCTCTTCAAGCAGGCTAGGTAGTGAACAAACACAAGTCACAACCAGGTAGCATCCTGCAGTCCTTTTTAAGCGGTAATTTCATTCGTGTTTCCTAGTATAATCCCTTCCCCTCATATTATAACCCCCACCCCCTAATATCAAGTATTCCCAATATAGCCCTAAACCCTAAACCCCTAAACCCTAATGCGCTACAATGGGAAGATGTAATGTCAGGGCTGCTTTTATCAGGGGGAGATGATTGCTAAATATGCCTCCCGAGGTGAGGGGACATGATCAGGCTTTGCTTTGAAACTGCTGCGGTTTCAGGGTTTAGGGTTCAGGATTTCGGGTTTAGGGTTCAGGATTTCGGGTTTAGGGTTCAGGGTTTAGGGTTTAGGGTTCGGGATTTAGGGTTTAGGGTTTAGGGGTCAGGATTTAGGGTTTACGGTTCAGGGTCTAGGGTTTAGGGTT